ATTATTATTATTATTATTATTATTATTATTATTATTATTATTATTATTATTATTTTGATGACTATAAATGATGTCACAAATTTAGATCAACTTAATAGAATTTTGGTAAAGTAATTGTTGGAATTTAGGAAAATTAAAGTATTTTTATTTATTGAAGTTTGAAGTATCTCGAAGAGAATATATTGAATTCGATCTTTGGAAGGGACCATTTGCCCCATTTGTATGCTTGACATCGAGCAACTTGGCTATCTAGTGTCACATATGTTATAGTGTTGAACTAGAAATTTGTGTCACTGCCCAACTTTAATGCCTATGATTGGTTGATGAGGTCGGCCAAACAAATCATCATGAGGTCTAGATCGTAGTGATGGCCTAGGTCATGATTACGTGTCACGTAGGCAATCAATGATGATTTTTGATTGGGTAGAAATTAGGTGCTGATGTCATAATAGGTCATGTGTCCTTTACCGTAAGTCATGATTGCCTCGTGTGCATTCATATAACTAACGCATAATAGGTTATTTGTCATTTATCCTAGGTTTTCATGAAAGTTTTAAACGTGTAGTCAAGTTATCCTAGAATTAGAACAATCCCTAACCTTGATGTAAATGAACTTAACAAGATTACTCACTATAACTAAAATATTCTATAGAAATATCTATATAAGTCGATTAAAAGTTAAGAATCTTAGCTTACCATTCGTGTTACATGTACCAAACACTTTTACTATAGGTCCGGGCGGACATGGGGGTGGCTTGGGGTTCACGTGATCCCCAGACTTTTGGGCAATTTTTTTTTCTTTGTTTTTATCTCAATTTTTGAAATTATTATGGAATGTCAAATAAAGTAAAATATTGCATTATTAATATTATTTAGAAGGGCTCACGACTTAATTTTCTACATCATTAATAGGGTGTGATACAATTAATCGTAGCAAATGTTACGACTTGTCAAAATATATCGTTTCAAACTAGTATTTTGAGAATTTCCATAACATGCTAATTTTAAAAAAATTTCGACGATCTCATGCTAGTCGAATTCATAAATCGCCTACGTCACCTCGAAACTTGTTTTGAGAACTACATCATAGACATATCAAATGTTCCAAACAGACATCGTAAATAGTTAAAGGTGTGTCAACACATGAGACTTGAAAAAAGATGCCTAACTCATATTTTCTTCAAAAATTTTCAATTATTTCATTAACATTGCTTTATTTTGCGCGACAAATTTCTCAACGTAATTTACCTAATTTTATTAGGAAATTTTACATGGGGCATGAAAACAAAATTTTCAAAACTTTACATCCGAAAAAGTCACAACCCGTGAACATTTTTCGATGTAAATTTATATGGAGTATGAATTTTTTTATGTAAATTTTCGAATCTAAAAAATCGCTAACTTTTTTGAAAATTTGATTGTACCCCCTAACTCAAAATCTCTGCGTAAGCCACTGCTTTAGGAATATATTAAATAGTGCTTGCAATAACTCATATAATGTATGTTGCTCATTAAATCCAAGATCTTGATATTTCAAGTGTTGGGTTGAGATTTCATTATCGATGACTTAGAAATTGGATACTACCCCTATTTCTATAATATTTGACTAACCAAAGCCATAGTCGAAGCTAATAGCAAAAGATATAACACGGAATTTTTTCCCTATGATATTGGCAGTATGTAGCACAATCTATCCATAGCTTTCTCAAAATTCATACTCATGCAATTATGAGCGATGTGCATTCATATCAAATTATGATCCACTTATACATATGTTAGAGTACACAAATTTCATTTCCTTTACAATCTGATAATATGGAATTTCTTCATTTTATCCGCAAATGTGCATGAACGAGTGATCATAAGAATCTCATGCGAGAACATCAAATACAATATGGACTTAATAGCTTTTAGCACTCATTTTAGAAATCCAATATTCAAACTTTCGAATATTATAAAACTGTTCTATGATCTCGACAATGCACAAATAATATTAAAGCAATTTCAATTTTAATTGTCTTTTTATCAACTTCAAGGATTTTAGTATTTAACAACCAAGGTAAAGTGTTTAAGGGTTGGTACCATTCCCTTCCCTCTCCTCCACTCACCACTCAAAAAATGTTACAAATGATAAGTTTTTTGTGCACGAAATCAAGGGGACAAACGGCAAACGAACATTCATATGACATAATTCAAAATGATTTCTCAAAACTTGTATTTGAAACAAGAATCACCAATCCTATATATAGATTGTGAAATGATGCTTTACCAAGAATTATAACCTTTCATTAGTATCACAACACTTCATTTTTTATCATGTTATGGATGAGCTTTCAATTTTTTTTCAACTAAAGAAAAATCAAATGTCAAAAGCCCCGTATTATGTCACAATCATACACTTTCAAATGTAAAAAACCCAATTTTATTATTATTATTATTATTCCAAACAATTATGTATTTATAACGTGTTAGACATGGGGGGAAAGGGAGCATGGATCTTGGTTGACCAATAATAATGCAAGATCCATCACGTTTCGACTAGTTGAATGAATTACCCTAGAAATATAATTTAGGGAATTACCAAAGTCAATTCATTATAAAATTTGATTGCTATTTCAAGCACTGTCACTTTTCAAGTGGCTGCAAACAAGGATAATTTCACGTATAGTTAATGTAGGATCAATGTTAGGTATAAGAGATTATAAAGAAACCAGAATTAAACGATAATCAAGTCAAATCACATTGGAGTTCTATAGCTAAGACTTTTTATTTCATTTTAAAATATCAACCTCGTTAAAAGAAGTACCACAAATTTTTATATGTTGATTTATATTCTTAGAATTATGTCATTTGAGATTTATCTTTAAACTATAACTTCGATAATTCACTGTTATCAAACATGGAGTACAACAAATCACTGAAGAACACTCAAGACAAGCTCAACAAAATGCCAAGGACCAAATTGAGAATAATTAATTTCCTCTACAACATTTATTTTCTTTCTTTTTTGTTTTTGGAAAAAATTGTTGGGGTTCAATATATATATATATATATATATATATATACGTACGTTGGTTTTAACTTTTCTTTATATCATGCCTGGTCTATAGCTTACGATGAGTACATATTTTAAAGCATATGGCCAAGTTGGGAATTAATTAATACTCATCTACTTTGATTACAACCACGCCTAATGTGAAGCATTCTTCTGGATGACCAAATTGATTGGAGAAAACATATTTAATGTCAAATTGCGTGGCTTAAAGTGGTATTTAATAATATTGTGATTAAGATTAAGCTCAACTTTACAAATTCTTTTAAATTTATTTTTGTCAATAATTTCAACCACGAATTCTATCAATACAATAATTTTGCTCTTGAACCCATTATTTTTCCTAATTTTTTAACCACACATTTTTCAAAAAATCAATTTTCACAAATTTTTTCCTGAAAAAATCT